ATGGAGAATTAGCTTCGCTTGTGTTAAGAAGAGCGTGGCATTGCAAAGAGGAGATGGAAAGTTTTCAGTTGTTATTTATCAAAAAGACTCTTTTGCTGGAAGGGAAATAGGAATGGGGAATTTGGCTCATCGGTCGGTTGGTGGTGGACATGGCAAGGACGATTTTTAGAATCTCGGGTGGGAAATTTGACGAAATTTCAACTTTGCACAGCAGTTGTACTTTTTACTTGTCTCGTTGCTTTTGTTTTTTCTTTTTCTTCTTTTTTCACAGTTCATTTCTTTTCAATTGTATTGTAAATAGTTGTAGTGGTGTGGTATATACCCAATTCCCTTTTTTTTCATGCCAAACGAAAAACAACAGCCTTGGTATCTAACGCCTTGAACTCCCTCCCTGCCTGCTTTTTGCAAGCTTTTATCCCCTCGATCATAACCCAAATTATTGACTTTTATGCACACCCCTTCTCTTCACTGGGCATGCTGCCTGATCTGATCATCACTCTCACCCCCCCCATTCGCCCCCCTCACAGCCGGCACCTCACCCTCGGCCTTGTTGTCAGTGCTAGAGGCAGTCTCCTCATCAGGCATATCATACTCCCCCGCCAACTCCTCCAGCGTCTTCCTCTTGGTCTCGACAATCATAGCCGTAGTCCCCAGACCGAGCAGCATGAACAAGGCGTAAATTTCCAAAACGTGATCCATCCAGGGGTTAGGGTTACCAGGCGTGGCGCCCCTTGTCCTCAAAGGAGCAATCGCACTGCTACCGATAATCGAGCCAATCTTGCCCATCGCGGCACTGATACCATGCGACGTAGACCGGTACCTCGTAGGGAAGCACTCCCCTGGCACGATGAAAGTAGTCGCGTTGGGACCAAAGTTGAAGAAGAACTGCGCGAGGACAAAGATAGCTAGGAGACCCTTGGGGGAGAGCTTATCGTACGCGAAGCCCATTACGACGAAGAGGACAGTGAGGATACCGAAACCCATGAACTGAATGGGCTTGCGACCGATGGTGTCAACGGTGAAGACGGTGACCCAGTAACCCGGTACGGCACCGGCAAGGACAATGATCATGTTTCCTATGGCGGTGTTGTAGAGGATCTCGTAGGTGTTTTTCGCGTTGTTGGTCGAGTACCCGATCACATCCAAAATGGTGGCATTGTTGAGACTGACGCCGTAGTAGGCGATGTCGAGGAAGCACCACGACAGAGCCGTACCAGCCAAAAGCATGGCATTCTTGCGCTTGGAGTAGTGACGGAAGAAGTCAGACCAGGATGCCTTGGGGATTTCGAGCTTCTTTTGGGCGGTTTGCTGGGTGATGGCCTGGGCGACGGTATCTGGCTTGCCCTCGGGCTCACCCTTGAGATAGGCTTCCGCGTCGGCGGAGGCTTTCTCCACGTCCATTTGCACGTCAAAGGTGTAGCGGGGGGTTTCGGGGATGGTGAGGCGGTAGTAGAGGGCGATGCAACCGGGCACGGCACCGAAGCCGATGAGGATACGCCACATTTGGTCGACGGCCACGCCGCAGTCGCCGGTGCAGGTTGCGAGGGTGGGGGCTGGTTCGAGGGATTTCTTGAAGCCGAGGGTGATGAAGAGCATGACGAAGGCGGCGCCGAGCTGGCCGAGACCTTGCATGGCGAAGACGGCACCCATCATGGCACCGCGCCATTTGGTGGTGGCGAACTCGGAGGTGATGATGCTGGAGAGGGGGTAGTCACCGCCGATACCGACGCCCTAGGGTGGGAGGTTAGATAAGGGGCTGGTTAGGGGGGTTGATGTAGGGGAACATACTTGAAGGATACGCCAAAAGATGATGACGCCGACGATGTTCATTGAAGGCGACGACGAGGTCAAGGCTTGGGCGAGGGTGGCGATGATGATAAGGATCAACTCGAGACCGTACATTTGCTTGCGACCGACGATATCGGCGAGGGTACCGAAGCCAACTTGACCGATGACAGTACCGGCCGATGTCGCCATCTTGATAGCCGTGTCGGAAGTGGTGGGCATCTTGCCAACGCCGGGATAGTAGACAATGCCAAGCATCAGGGTGAGGAGGGAGACGGTAAAGATGTCATATCTAGAGCCAGGTCAGTGTGTTTTCCGAGGTATTATTCAGTAAGTACGTCAACTTACGAATCGGTAAAGAAACCAACACCAGCAACAAGAATAGCTCTGATATGGTACCAACCGAAGGGAGCTCTGTCTACTTCGGCGAGGGCAAGACGCCTGCGTTCGTTGACATCCTTGATGTGGAGGAAGTCATTGTTGAAGTTGTGGTAGGCATTGTTGCCTCCGGCAGTTTTGGTCATGGTGACTGAGAGTAGGGGGAATGACAACCAAGTCCTTGGTGCTCTGAGAGGGAGTGGTGCTGACTGGAGAGAACAGAGAGACAGAGGACCAGAAATCAGGACGAGGAGGGGGCAAAGGAAGAACTGGTTATATGCCCTACACGGGTCCAAGTGGGATGAACTAGCGATGTAGGCCGAATTCCGTAGGGTGCCATCGGATGTAGAATTCGACGGTCTAGTGCTGTACAGATTGTGTACCGCATGCAAGGAATGCCCCTCGGATGCAGGTATCTATCCTGAGCTGACGAAGCCCCAGTTGTGGAGTTGTGCCCACGCGACCTATATTGCTCAGTGTTATCTGATGATCATCTGGATCATTGCGTCCAGCGGTGAAGTGGCCGAGAAACAGGTCAGAGACCAGTCTCGGAACTCCGTTGTCGGTTCATGCTGATCAGCTTCCTGGAGAGTAGGATGGGCATTCAGTTTTCGTGATTGACTTTGATGAGGTGCTGCATATCATCACTCTTATCGAGCAACGTCGCTTCATACTGGTGTTCCAGCGCCGCATTCAGCGACGGGAAAGAAAAGCTTTCCGTGCCTTGGAAAATCCACAGAAAATATCGGGTTCCTCGGTCCTTCGTGGGGGGAAAAGTCGTCAGAGTGTCTCAAAGAAAAACCGAAGGGCAGCCGGAGAATTCGACGTCGCCATCACGTCGTCCAATCCCGACGCCGCTCATGTGCCGAAAAGGGAAGGCGGCTTGATGACAGTCTGGGGACCTTCGTGTGGGATCTTGGGAGGCGGCAAGATCCGACAGGGGTCCTCCCCGCGAATGGCATGGGGGAGAGCAACACGTTGTAAAATCCGGGGCTGTGGTTCGTCGAGAAGGTTTTTACTGGTCGACTCTGGGCGTTCTGGGCATTCGATGGGCGTTCTGGGCGTTCTGGGCAATGTGGAGGTTCGGGTGGACCGGTTGAGCTTTCTGCCGAAAACCGTCTTTGTTTTCAATTTCAGACGTAGAATGGATGACGACCTTCATTGTCCTTTGTTCAACCGGTGGCTATTTGCCAGCAGATGTTGTGTCGTGGGAAGCTGTAATATCGAATGAAATATCAACCACATCAACTCTGATAGCGCAGGGGTGAAGTTGGGAAGGCTGTGGGTGCAGGATAGATGAGTGTGGTTGGCTCTTGTCGTATGCCCTTCGGGGAGAACAAAAGCCAGCAGATGACAAAGTTCCATTCTGACGTCTACCGTGAGGTTTGCTCTCAATATAGACTTATTGAATTATCAGGTAGATTCCCACTGCTTCCTCATGCTTTTCTCCGTCTTCTAGCACCCAATATTCGGACATTACAGACAAATCTCATGATAGCATCGAGGGATGTCAGATATTGGGACAGCTTCATGTCGTTGATCTGCCCTAACAAGCTTTACTTGGCCCTCGCTTGGCTGTTGCTTGATCTGCTTGGCCATTGCTTGAACTCCTTGGCTGAGTTCTGCCGCCGTGGCGGTCGCACAGAGGTCTTGGAAGCTCTTGGGATGTCTGGGTTGACATGTCTTGGAAAGCTTGGCCATCAGAATGAGGAAAACAGTCGCGTGCTCACATACCTCATCAGTGGTAGTAATGGGTAAAGTACCCGCGAGTGGTGACGTCGTGTGGTATTAGATTCCAGCTGGTCATAAGGGGGCGTTGGCCGATGTTGTAAGCTTTTTTTTTTTTTTGGCATTCTGGGTGCGGGCTTCTTTTAGATCTCAACTATCCTGTTGTCGTCATCGTCCTCCTCCTCTATCGCCTTTTCAGCGCCATGCTCAGCCTCGTCGGCCATAATGACGTTTACCAGCCGCTCACAAGCCTCGCGTACACCGTCGTCCTCGACCCGGAGATGGGTTTCGCGGATGACAGGATACACCTTCACATTTCTCATGAGATCCCTCCCTTCTCTTGTCGTGGTGAGGAGTGTTAGTGTCTCGATATGTGTCTGGATATTGTTGTTGTCCGTGTCTCTTTGCTTGTCGGGTGGCAAGAGCTGCAGATCGGGCAGCATATCCAACATCTCATCCTCGTCGTACTGCTCATTTCCAATGATGGGAAGAAGCAGATACGGCAGAATGTTGATCTGATCCTCATCCAAAAATTTAGGATGTGATGGCACGTCGAAGGCAACATTTTTGATGATGTTGGCTACACCCTTCCTCCTGATATCGGACTTGTGCTCGGTGAAAACCTTGATCTTGTTCAGGGGAAGGACACTGTCATACTCCTGTTCGGACAGGAAAAATCGGCGAATCTCTTCGTGTTTCGATAGATCAGCCAATGCATATGCGAGGTAGTCGTAATCAGCGTGCTTGTTGTAAGACCCGTCGGCGCCCTTAACAAAGAGATCCATCAGTTGGTTGAGGACAAGCTCATCCGAGTGGAGGCTCTCAGGAGCAGGTTGTTTGCGGCTGATGATGTCCTTCAGTCCATCCCACTTTGTCATGTTGGCAAGCAACATAGCCAACAAATTTGCATTGGGCTCCTTTGGATCCTGAAGACGGAGTATGGTGATTAGCTATGATTCTGAGAAAAAAGCATTCCATATGTAATACTCACGACCAGCAGGCCTAATGCAATTCCGAGGAACTTCTCATCTGATGCGACAAACTCCACAACACTAGCATCTGCTGTCAAGTTGATGAGAATGGTGAGGGCATGTTCGGCAATTTTCTACGTCATGGGTGAGCAAAACTGCCGTGGTTTGGATGCGTAAGTTAAGGGTCTTACAGGATGGTCTCGTATCAGAAACTTGAGGTGCTTGACGGGAGTGAGGTTCTCCCTCTTGAAAATGGAAGGATCTGAAACCGAATATGGCACCAGGTTCTCAATGGCTACCAACCGAATCTGCGGGTTCGGGTGGGCAATGAACCCTACGAGCTGGCAGACAAGATTTCATGTCAGTCATGTTTGAACGAGAAGCGGACATTAGAAGGAGTATGGATTACCTCTTCAAGTTCTGTGGGCATTTTGATGGAGGGAGTCGGGGAAAAACACTAGCTAGTTACGAGACTCTAAGACCAAGCTTTCTTTTCAATAGCTCCAAACTATCATCGAGAGCTCTCACAGCGCAAAGCAGCTCTCGCTCATACTTGGAAATCTTGACGAGGGGCATCGCGGGGAATTATTATCGATAAGCTCCCGATTAGAAAATTGTGGATGCCAAGGGGCAGCTGATAAGATAGTAGCCAGCGATAAGCGCAAATGTGGGGTAACTCCGGCCAACCAGGGGCAGCTGATAAGATAGTAGCCAGCGATAAGCGCAAATGTGGGGTAACTCCGGCCAACCAGGGGCGAGGCGCAATCAGTTCACTTCACTACAGAGTACCCCACAATAAACTTTTTTTGGGGAGTACCAAAAACCCAGGCGTTCACTGAAAAACCTCGGGTTGAATCCCAGTCGATAAACACCAAAGTGCCGTTCTCCTTGAGAGGCACACCAACTGCACCGACACCGACATTATTGAACACATACCTCTTGTCGCAATTCAGCATCGAGACTTCCACCATGCCGAAAGCACCCTCCTCTCTCCCCGGCAAGAAACGCCATAACCCTCTGGCCGACGATTTGGTCGCCACCGGAGTCCTCAAGAACAAGCCCTCAAAGCGAAATACCAAGGCCGAGCCCGAGGAAGGAGAGAGATATGTCGACTCTCGCGCAAGCAAGAATATTCTGGCGATGAGCCGGGAGCTACTCCAGGAAGATGAGCAGCAAAGCGAAGAAGATAAAGGCGGAGAACGAGGAGCCTTCGGTTGGAACCCGTCAAACTTCGACAGTCGCGAGCAGGATGAAGAACTTTACGGCGAAGACGAAACCTGGGGGGACGAAGAGGAGGAAGTAGAGGAGATTGAAGTAGAGGCTGGTGACCTGGAGGTGTTCCATAAGTTCATCAAGCCCTCTATGGAGGACGATCCGCTCCTTACGCATGGCTGGGATATGAAGGGTGATGGTGGTCAGGAGCAACAACAGGGTGGTGGACAAGATCTGGCCGAAATGATCCTGGCCAAGATCGCTGAACATGAAGCTCAGCAACAAGGCGGGTGGCACGACGACAACCCGGCCGACGAGGAACACGTTTTGCCACCAAAGGTCATCGAAGTCTTTGAAAAGATTGGAATGTTTCTTTCTCGGTACCGTAGTGGTACGTGTGCCCCCCCTTCCCTGTACATTTTTTTCCGTTTTTTTTTATTTTTTTAAAAAAAAAAGAAAAGAAAGTTGAAAGCTAACCAACAACCCCAGGCCCTCTCCCGAAGCCGCTAAAGGTGCTCCCTCAGATCCCCGGCTGGGAAATCATACTCCAGGTCACCCAACCCCACAACTGGACTCATCATGCCGTTTTTGCTGTCACCAGAATCTTCGTGGCAGCCAAGCCAAAGGTTGTCCAGCGGTTCATGGAGATGGTTGTTCTTGACCATGTCCGTGAGGACATCTCCGAGAACAAGAGGTTAAATGTACATCTATTTAACGCTTTGAAGAAAGGTCTATACAAGCCGGCTGGTTTCTTCAAGGGATTCCTTCGGCCATTAGTTGCCTCAGGGGTTACTCTTGTCGAAGCTCGCGTCGTAAGTGGTGTTCTCACACGCGTGTCGATCCCCGTGATACATTCGGCCATGGCCCTCAAAGAGTTGTGCGATTTTGCGGCGGAGATGGTTTCATCAAAGAACGAGTCTGTTAGTGCCGTTAACTACCTGATCAAGGTTCTTCTCGATAAACGGTAAACCACCCATATTGTCTGTCTATCTGTACAACCTCTAACCAGCATACAGATACGCTCTGCCCTGGCAATGTATTGATAGGTAAGGTACCAAACTTCCCTTTTATATATACAGAGAATACTGATGTTATCAAATTGTAGCCTAGTCTTCCACTTCCACAGGTATGCTGGACTAGCACGCGATGCCAATACCCACTCGGATCTCCCTGTGATCTATTGGCAATGCCTCTTGGTCTTCTCACAACGTTACCGAAACGATAGTAAGAATCCCTGATTGGCATCTTTAATGGACGTGAATCTCACAGTCTCAGTTTCCGAAGATCAGAGGGAGCTGCTCCTCGACTTATTACTCAACGGTCACCATCAAATAGCCCCCGAGATACGCCGGGAGCTTTTAGCGGGCCGTGGCAGGGGTGTTCCCATTGAACAGCCAACTGTTGCTTTTGATGGCGATGATACCATGATGATGTAGGGTATCGTATCTTGGGATATCATTTTCTCCCTTTGGGAAAGGGCGTGGAGTTAGTGGAGTTTAAGGCGTCTCAACATATATTCTGAGGGGCATTTTGTCTGGCTATAGCATCTCATTCAGCTGAAAGATGTGGTTAAACTGTGAGGCTTGATTGACTAGCCGGAGAGTACTTGAAGCGGGTCGCATCATGGCTGAATATGTGCTCTGTGACCTCCTAACACCCCTGAATACCCCTGAATACCCTTGAATACCCTAAGATCCAGGTACCAATACATCGCTGTCAAAGGTCATGGCCCTATTGCTCAGCACACTTTTCTTTGAGAGTTATTTTGAAGGATTTGTTGTGTTGAAATGATTACGTGATGTTCCTGCCTGGGTTCAGGCACACACGTAGTGAGAAGGCACATCCAAGTCTGTGGGGACACGACACAGGTGGCCAGTTGGCTTTTGAAATGTTCAAGATTTTCTAAACCTGCCCGAACCATAGATCACCTAAAATCTCCCCTCCTACGTCTTTTCTTCTCATTTATATTCGTTATACTTCTGGATAGATTGGCTTGAACTAGAACCTGCACCACGCAGCTGACGAGACAAGGATGGCCCCGACGAACTTGGGATGAAATGGATGGATTAACGAACAACACACCTCTGTCTGCCTCGTCTATGAGCCGAAGCACACAGGAACACCATCATTCGCCAGCTCCAACTCCCGGATCCAGTGTCGACCCTCCTCGGCCGCCAAAAGATGGGTATGAGTAGGTCTGGTACCCAGAGGGATACTGGGCGGAGAGGCCGTTCAGTCAATCAGCGACACCGCCTAACGGCAAAGGATCGCCTGATCTCAAGATATGGAGACGAAGGAGGCGATCCAGACCGAGCGGCAGCGGCGGCCAAGACAGCGAATCACACACAGCTTCGCCCAAAACCTACCCTCCTGTGCCGCCGATTCCCCTACAGACTGCACAAAGCCCCTATCTTTCGGAATGGGCTCATGTCTACTCTCTCCAAAAGCCACACGAATCATCAAGTAATACTATCGAGCAAGAGGGGGAGTGGCTTGCCCCAAAAGGTCGAGGTTTCTTTCCAAGTCTACCGACGATAGTACCAGCGGCCGAAGTCAAACCTGAACCAGGCCTGGTTCGTTCGCACAACTCGTTCGCCTCACTTAGCTGGAACCGACTGAGCAACTCATTGAGAGGCTCACGAGACGTAGGTTATAATTACGGATGGCTGATTTTGGTGTAGTTGGTGGCTGATTGAGGATTTACACAAACAGAAGAAGCGAAGCGAATCCTCGGAACAAGCCCCTGTCGACGATGGCAAGTTTGATGCAGTCAAGAAGTATCTCGATCGCCTGCCCGAGGCGGAGAAGCCGGTCCCAGAACAGAAGACCGATGTCGAACCGAACACCAAGGGCCGTCGTGTGCGCTTTGGAAGAGTGCTGTGGCATCGCCGGAGGTCGACCCGAGCAACGGACAACTCAAACCCGAGCTTGTCAGATGTGGACCGCAAAGAACGACCCAGTATGTGACAAGCACCTTGGTAGATGAACTGACATGAAAGCTCCATCTTCTGACATATCCTGTAGGCGGTCCGGCGATATGGTTGACACAGTTTCCAGGCGGAGTAAGAGCCATCCGTCTTTTCCATACATCCGAACTCAGAAACGCTAAAATTCTCTATAGGAGGCAACTCGTGTCCATACTCCGCCCTACAAAGAAGACACAGTCGACGGACGACCGCGTAGTCTCTTCTTTGACGTAGCTCGGCCAAACAGTCGACACGATCAAACTCCATCCGAAACATCCTCTACGCGAGAGAAAGTCGGTATCCGAACCTCCCGGTCGTCCCCATTGAATGTGAAGAGCCGTGGCAGAAGATCGCAACAGAGAAGTTCGGCCAGCGGCGCATCGGGAAGAGGTCTTGGCGGCAGTATCTCGCCGTACAGAGTTCCATCGCCCCGTAAGGCGAAAGAGGATAGCTCCCCAAGTCGGAGCAAAAGCGGACCTGCAAAAACAAGAGAAAAGACCAGATCTCCCCTTGCCACCACCCCAAAAGAAAGCGTCAAAGAGTGGTGGGACGCACCTTTGAGAACGCCAGACACCCCACCTTCTACACCGACACCCCGAACCCGGGTCACGAGAGCAACCACGGGGACAGCGGCGATGTTCAAGTTTGATGTGCCGGAGCACTTGCCCAGCAGTCCCATGTGCCCTGCCAATCCCAAGAATCCCAAGTCATTGGGGAAGGGGGTCTGCGTGGTGAGTTTTGAATCACGGGAAAGGGGATCGAGTGCTGACCAAGGGAATAGTATCATGGGAGACGACGGAGTTCACGTTTTGGGTTGGCGGGGTCGGATTCTTTGCTTTCTCCGAAGGTTGAGAGGGAGGAGGCGGCTTATGATGATGGGAGTAATTCTATGTAATGCTTGATTGACCACACGTGGGAATGTTTAAAGAATATTCTGTAGTTCAGTTTCATGGAGCAGCTCCGTTTTTGGATGGCTTTGCTTTAGTGATTACTTTACCCCTACGCGCAGTTGTTCCAGAGATGCGCATGATTGCCATTGCTGTGTAATTTTTGTTGAACGTTTCATAGTATGGCAGAAACTACAGACAATAGAAAATATCCTGTATTCCGCTTATTCTACTTTGAGCTTTTGTATTTCTCGGTTGCTCGTCACTAACGAGACTGTTGTTGACTTTTGGGACGGGATTCAGGGGCTGGGAGGAAGGGGCAACCAAATGTGGGGCCTTTCTTGGTCTCTCGAGCTTGGTCAAAGCTCCTCAAGAACAGACTTTCGATGGCTAAAAGTGGGTCGGAATCTGTCGCGCGGCACGCATCTCTGACCTCTGTCGCGCATCTTAAACTTCAGCCTCGTCGCCAAACTTACCTACCACCGTGGAGCTCTCTCTTCCTCCCATCTCGATAATTCTTTTTCCGACGTCGCGCGACACACTTGATCTGAGGAGGTTTTTTTTTATCGATTTTATTCCCGCCGCCGAACCCACGTCGTATCAATTGACTGCTCGATAAATCTTGGAAACAAACGAAGGTCGACCAACCACGATTCGCGAAGATGGCCTCCCCGATGACCGATCCCCTTTTGCTGTTTCGGCAATCCATCCGGACGTCGTCACGGATTGTTCCTGTCGCCTCGGCCGAGTCGAACGACGAGGTTGCGCTGTCGCAGGCGACAAATCTGGTGTTTAGTGATGAGGGGAAGAGGGTGGTGTTGCCGGTGGATGTGCAGAGCAGGTTCATGAGCTCGGAGGGGAACTTGATTGACCTGCGGTCGATTTATTTTGCGTGGGTGAATAGGGATATCACGATTCCGGAGTATAATGCTGCGGCGGAGAAGCTGAATGAGGAGTTAACTGGGGGGAAGGGGGTGCACAAGTTTCCGTTTGTGGAGAGATGGAATCTGATTGCGTAGTACAGGTTATACGCGTCTTGGCAAATAGTTATCGAGGTG